ATGCCACACAAATACATGCATAAGAAACCAATAAAATTTTACAACTTCAGTAAGGAAAAATTGCAGATTAAAATAACATTGCAGAAAAATGTTAAATAATTTTTAAAACTTTAAAAAATTATCCGCATGGCTAAGATTATGGCCTAGAGAAGAACAATCCAGGAGATAAACACTAAGCACTAGGCCTATATGTCCATCCTGAGTCCAAACAAAATGCTTCAAAACATTGTGACACGCTCGCCCATTATTGGCAAAAGAAATGTACAGCCTCCGACCCACGAGGTGAGGAACCGTTCATGAGGCCAGATACACTAACTAACATACTAACAGTCTTGATGGCCTGAGCCCTGCATGGCAGAAAGCAGAAAGAGAAAGGGAGGAGGTGGGGAGTGGGGGGTGTACTACTCATCAAATGTCAACATCTCAATTCATCTACAATAAAAATAATCTAAGAAAGCTGCTTGAAACAATTCTAAAAGAAAACATTATAAAAGTTACCACCCTGACAACTTTGCACACCTAGAAAATGTAAAAAAATGTCAGTGTAAGGGTTTATCGCCTGTTTCAAGCTTATTAAGCTGGCTATTTTAAGAAGTTTTTTTAACCTCCAACTCCATTAGAACCGAGACAAATGGGAAAACTCAACCATTGAGAGCCTTGAAAGCTCCAGAAAAATGACCTGAGTTCAAGAACACCCGGTCTGGTATTCCAACCAGGGCCATCCACTCCATAGTCCAGCATGATACCAACAAAGCTAACAAAACATCCGCCCAAATTCTGCTTCCACCTAACATGTCAGCCTTTTTCGTCTGCAACTTCTCATCTGGTACATTACAGCCAGCAACTAATTCGGCAACCCTCGCAGGCATACATATTTTTTCCTTAGTTGCATGATCCCAGAAAAATTTGTTATATAATACACACACAAAACCACACACACACACACACACACCCACACTCACAGCCAGGAGACAAAACAGAAGCATTTGATTGCAAAGTTTCATAATACCATGGGAGACAAAAAGTCACAATAAGTTGAAGAGACTAAGAAAGGAATCTCCGATTTTTTCACATTTGAGTACTACTGTACTAGTTCTACACCAACACAAAACAAAACGAAAACGACCCTTTTGGAATAAAACAAAAACAACCCTTTTGGAATAAAAGATAAAAAAAGCGACAAAAGACGGATTTCCACTGACTCATGAACCCTGTCTTTAAAAATAATTATGTATAAAATTTATACAAGCAGTCAATACAAGTATAATATATTCAAAGTGAAAGACAAATTGCAGTATTTCAAAAGCCAACACTACACGTGAGTAATAAAGTGAGAGACAAACATTTTTGGCCAAGCAATGGGCTTTGTACCACTGCTTTTTTTCATCTTCTTCCTTCAACTTCTCATCATCAACTTCCTACAACACTAGAGTCAGATCTTGCTAATACAAGGAGGTGATTGTTCACCACGCTTGCAAGAACTCCCCACGGACAAGATCACCCGGACCTGATGAAATCTGAGAAGGTGTAATGCAGCCAAGAAAGCATTCTCCACTAAATCTGAATGTTTCACACAAAAACTGTTGGTTGATGCCTCGACCACACTCATAACCTGGCTCATCTCCCTTTCCGCTTTGTAGTTTAAAAAACCCAACTAATTACAATCCTGACCACTGAAATTCAAGCAGCAAAAAATACTTATCCACTTCTCAAGGCTATTTTAAATGAGAAAGAATTGTGTTCAAAGAGTAGAGTGCAGCTAAGCGGAACACAAGATCAGTCAATATTCTGACTCGACCGGGGTAGAAAGTTTGCTAAAAATAGGCCCACAATTCTATTCTGCTGCAGCACACTAGTTTAAGTCCAGAGCAGAAAACTAAACGTAAGATTTGCTGTTTTGACGTATTAAGTTGCACTCAGCTTATGTATGCAAAATCAACATTTTCATGTTATTAGTCTTAACTTTTGAAAGATTTTGATAATTTTCCTCATCTCTTGATGTAGATTGTAAGCTCAGACTTTTGTATTTGATAACTTATTTCAAAACATCACAAGGCAATAAGGAAACAAATTGTTGCGTTACTTCTGTATAAACACACACATGTTATTATCACATCGGTTCATCACACGAGCAAAGAATAAAAAAATACCCGTTAGCTTGAAATGAAAGAAGCAACATAGGGAACTAGGCCTCACCAAGATCTGCTCTCAGTTTCAAGGATTCCGTGGAAGAGCACATGATAACACTGGCCGGATGTGTCACGCCACGGTGGAATCAGGCGCTCCTCAAGTTTGGGCAAATGTGAGTTATCGGTACCACCTTAAAACTTGTTCGTCAGTCTTGCTTTATAGGAAATTAAATACCCATCTACTGGTACAGAAGTTGAAATATTTGCCACTGAAGGACATAGGGGTTGCATGGTGTTAAAAGTAAAATTAGCGATAAAATTGCTGCTGATGCCAAAGTTCGGCAACTTTCAAAGTTTGAGTGTCCTTGAAAACTTAACATTTACATTTTTCATGCCTTCCTCAATGTTTTTCAGTAAAATCACATGAACGCGCATAAAAAGTGTTTCGTGAAAAAAAAGAAAAAAATTCAATAAAAATAGCCCAATGGGTGGGAAAGTGTTAGTGTCTTAAATGTTGTTATTTTGATGAGCGCCTGATTTCACCACGATATCACACGTATAGAGACAACATCAACAAGCAACAGACTTAGGACTTTGATTGATATATTGATACAATATATATATAAATATATATATATATATATATTTAAATATAAATATACACGATGCCATTTGTAACACAGGAAGCTTACAGGATAAAGGCAACAGACTCAAATCAATCAAAACAATTACAAAGAAAAAAACATTTCTTTTAAGTAAGATATTTTTACATCCCTAGTGACACAATTTAGACCATTTAGGAGACGGGCTTCCATCCCTTCCAGCTGGGCTGAGAAATACTGAATACAAATTTTCTCGATCCCCACTCAGGAACCAAACTTGGGTCCCCTGCTGACACAGCGGGAGCACCTAACCCTACGCCACAGACGCCAGTTAACAATAACCAGGGATGCCAAATTTTTTTTTTTTTTTAACCCTCAAAATGAGCGGAGCATCACATCTAACCTTAAACAAACCTTGTCAAGTTTTAAATGAGCAAACAAAAACATCTCTCTTACCTCTCCCTTTTCCTTTGCAAGTGTATGGGGCCTGCCTTTGCGGCATCAATTCCAATAATATTATTTCTGTCTGAAAAATTCCAACTGATGAAAAAAACGGAAAAAGCCGGGGAAAAAAACGGAGATTTGGCCTCCCTGAATAACGGTATTCTCAAAAGCCTTACCTAAGGGCACAGAGACCAAATGAGACAGAAAGTGTAAATTTTTCAACAAAATCAAGAGAGTAAGAAAACCTAAACAATGCCTCAACAAAAACGATGAAATCTCTACTGATTTTTAAACATTGCCAAGAACTGGAGTCTCTGATACACCTCGTTTGTTAGTTTGAGTAAAGAGAAGCACATCCACACAATAATGGGAAAAAGTAAGACTGAGAGAAACAACCAATTGAAAGTAAAGAACTAGGACCTACCACTGGCACCCTCCAACCACCCACTAATATATCTTAGTGAGTCATTCCACAATAGAGGAGCATAATACATACATATATATATATATACGTGTTTGCATGCCTCTACTACTCTGACTTGCTGTCCATTAAATCTGCAGTTCACTAAAGGTTTGCGTAAAATTGTCTCATCACTGGATGACCCGAGACCTCTGGCTGTAGTGTACCACAACTATAGACCTGGCTGTAGTGTACCACAACTATAGATCTGGCTGTAGTGTACCACAACTATAGACCTGGCTGTAGTGTACCACAACTATAGATCTGGCTGTAGTGTACCACAACTATAGATCTGGCTGTAGTGTACCACAACTATAGATCTGGCTGTAGTGTACCACAACTATAGATCTGGCTGTAGTGTACCACAACTATAGACCTGGCTGTAGTGTACCACAACTATAGATCTGGCTGTAGTGTACCACAACTATAGACCTGGCTGTAGTGTACCACAACTATAGATCTGGCTGTAGTGTACCACAACTATAGATCTGGCTGTAGTGTACCACAACTATAGATCTGGCTGTAGTGTACCACAACTATAGATCTGGCTGTAGTGTACCACAACTATAGATCTGGCTGTAGTGTACCACAACTATAGACTATAGTGCGGTCACAATTTGGTGGCGCAACCTATTGTCAAACATTTCATAAACTATCGAACAGCAACTTTCCAGCTCGAGCACAATGACATGTTTCAATTTGTCTTAACAGATCAATATTTTTGTAAACACCTGCTAGCGGTATTCCAGAAAATACCTTAACCCTATCCGTATGCCCTGGGGTCATTTTGTACCCCCGGGTTTGTATTCTTCACATTTTAGAATACTTCTTGTGCAAAGATCTCTTTGAAACTTTTCGCGTACAGATCGGATAAACGAGTACATTTCCTCTTTGGAAAGAGGTGGCACAGAGTTCCCCACGTCATATGGATAAGATACTAATACACAAAGTACAGATAGGGTTAGTAAATAGTAATAAAAAATCCAAGTATGTGGTTTCTACATATTTGAAAAGGTTTACAGCTTTCAAAAGCAGGTCTGTCATGTTTTTCTAATTGCCACATTTTGCTTATTGAACGCATGTTTTCAGAATCTGTAGGGCAAAAAAAGTGTTCACTACAAAATAAACGTCTTGTTACTAGTTTTGCAACTACAAAGTGTCATTGGTGAGCTGTGGCAAAGGCCATAGCGGATGCAAAATGCATGTGAGAAGCGGGAAGTGCTGTGACAAATCCCATTTTCCCCTAGACAGATTTGTAGTGTTTTATATAAATGTAAATGAAGAAAAGTTTTAAAATCTAGCCTCAATTATTGTGGAAAAATATGATTAAGTTAAAAAAAATTGATACAAACTGCTGTGCAAAGTGTAAGTGACATTGATTTACCCGTTAAAGAGATATTTGAGGATAAGTTGCGCTACGAATTTTTGACCGCACTATAGGTCCTCACACACAGGTTCAAGGTCACCGTTCTGACACGCAATCATTTCTGACCACCTGTGAGGACTCTTTTTAAAAGGAGGCAGGTGCTTTTACGGCCCCTTTGACGAAATAAAGATTAATTTAGGGGTGGGCTTCCGACCCTGACAGTCAAGGCCAACCCCCACTGAGAGGGAAACAACATTCCAACTGAAAGACCAAGACGCTCAATAAAAACTCTCAACCTCACAGAAATTAACCTCAGGTCTCCTGTATGTGACGGCAAAGAGCCTAACCGCTACACCAGAGGCGCTGGTTGACCTTCCTGAAAACAAAGCGGCAGTGACGGGCGGCTGTTAACGGAGACAACAGCACAACATGAGAAATGAAATTATTTTTGTACAAATGAGCCATAAAATAATATATTGGAGTCCGCTCACACCGAGCACAATTAATCTAAAAATAGCAGCAGAGCGAAAGAAATAAAAATCCCCGATTTTTTTTTCTCTCCTGTTTCAGCACCCTCTCGAAACCGAAAACCTGTCTAAACAGAAGAAAGTTTGGCAACCTCACAGTATTCCATGTGAGCAGACTCCACTAAACATCCACTCATCCACTCCCATCACTCACATCATCAGATGCACGATAACGCTGCTACTGCTAAATGTAAAAGGTTCATATGACAAAGATTGTCCAAAAAGCAAAAGACATGAGCGTTCTAAATAATGGCGTAACTCTTGAATAAATACAAATCACATCTCAACCAAGTTCAGCACCATATTTCCATCAAATAATTATACTTCCATGCATAGTGGGAGAACTGTATCTTTGCAATTTGAAGAAAATTATTTTCCGTTCCGACAATCTGCCTTCAGGTCTGGGGTTCCATGATTATCCACGCTTGTTTCTTGTACGGTACAAGTCTCCGCTGTAGTACAGCACAGTAAAGCTCCTCAACCTTACTATGAGCAGAAAGATATGCATACCTCATAAGTCTAAGTTTCTTACCATTCCGGCGAGAGGGGAGGAAGACGGGTGGTAAGCAGGTGCTCTGGTGTGGTTCGCCCCTTCTTACCTTTCAATTATCTATCATCATTATCTTCCTACTTTATGTTTTTGTATGTTACTCTCTATTCACATCTCTAACAAAATAACGGTGGTGGATATGTTTACATTTCAAACCCAACAGTGCATGGGACAAAATTTATCCTTTTGTCTGCTCTCACTGCCATAATGTCCGGTGGTAGTCTTGACAAATGTCCAAACTACATTTGTACTTCATTTGTTTATGCACATACTCCAAGCAAGGAGTTGAGCTAACTTGTTCTCTGACAATCCGGTTTCTCACCATGTCTCTGCTTGTGATGTTGAAAGGTTTTTCAACAATAACTCATGTCACAAAACTGTTTCTTTAGATCCCTAGACATCTTTGCAGAACTAGAGAAATACAATAACATACATTCACTGTCCCTTCAGAAACTCACACAACCACACGACCTATAAACACAGCCTTAGCAGATAATGGAATAATGCGATACAAACTGTTGGATCAGGATGGAATAATGCGATACAAATTGTTTGATCATAATGGAATAATGCGAAACTATTTGATCATAATGGAGTAATGTAATACAAACTATTTAACCCAGACCATGATAAAACAGATAATCTCAAACTTCTAAGTTAAAAAATTGCACGCTGTGTTTTCCAATAAATGCATCAAAGTGTTAAACATACAAGTAGTGTTCCTCAACATTCACCAGTCGGAAGATTTGGAAGAAGACGTCCTCGTGTCGTAGTGATCATCGTCCTCCTCTGAGGAAGAGGACAGGGATAGGAGAGAAGTCAGAAATTTCTTGAGCTTCGACCGCGGCTTTTTCTTGTTCTTCAGCATGGAGGTCCCGGAGTGGGAGCCATCATCGTCATCATCCTCCTCCTCGTTGTCATCTACATTTTTACCTCGGCTCTCTTTTCCTGCAGCACTACCACCACCACCACCACCACCGCTGCTATCTGTAAGAGCAGAGTTCGAGTCCCGGCAACGCTGAGCGCCTGACTGCTGTAGCTGCTGTGCAGGGTTAAGTCTGTCTTCCCCGCCAGTCTGAGACGGGCAACTCGGAGACACTGCTCGTGTCGACCGGCTTTCTTCACAAGGAACACCAGTAGCAGTCGCAGACGCCCCCGACAAATTTCTCAACGCCCCGGGAGATTCTGCACCCACAACCCCCCCAGGAGCAGAAACTTTACGAGAGTCATCAGATTTTCCTGGCCCTCCGTTGCTGTTCTCCATCTTGTTCGTTGTTGAGTCTGAGACCCTATCTCCGAAGTAATTATCTACAAAACGCAAACAACCATCAGCATTCGCCCCTATTGTGATATCTACCTGCCGTTCTGCTTGCGTGTCGCCCGTCGAGTTGCTACTGCTGAGACGCTGAGCAGTCGCTAATTGACGAACTGTATCGGAGGAGCCCGACCGCTCTTGTCTGTCCTCAATGTGCGACAAGGACAAACGGTCACAAAAGACGTCAGCAGCAATACCGTCTATGTGAACGTCTGACAAAGCTGTGAGGTGGAGGTTTTCTGGATGAGTTAATTCCTCTTGCCACTCGTCCGTGACCATGTTGTCGTAGGAACCCGAACCCTCCCCATCTGGCTCGAGCTCAGTGGGATGCTGCTCCGTGTAGTTCTCGTCTTTCAGATGATATTCATGCTCGGGGTTCACATCCCTAGCACCATATGCGTCGTCGTGCACAAAAGGTCGCTCGAGAAAACACGAATCTCCACGCAGATCAACCTCCTCCGGTCTCACGGTGTTCGCAGACCCGTGTCTCGCCTCTAAATGCTCCAAACCAGTTTTCAATTCCTCAATCTCCGTCACGGAGCGAGTGAAGTTGGGAGGTTGTAACACAGAAGTCCGATACGGAGGTGAGGACTGTCCTTGGTTCAGCACCAGCTCGCTGTTATCTACATTGTCATACAACGTCCTTCCAGCAGGCACACTACGTGTCGGGGGTGACAGCGGAGGCTCCTCCCTACCGCTACGTCCAAACCTCTCTCCACACGGGTCAAAATCTGGACTCCTCACCAATACCTGATCTGACTGGCTTCTGCGGATGTTCTCGTACCGTGAAGGCTCGGGTATTGACAACGCAAGGACACTGTCTGTCCCTGTGTTGTCGTACCTCGATAGTTCAGGAACAGAAGACACGAATACGGTGTCTGTGCCAGCGTTATCGTAAAGAGTCACGCCAAAGCTTGAACCAGAATGTTGAACTCTGTTCTGATGTCTCAAACCCCTATCACCAGGAACACCACTCTCAACAGATTTCCGTCTTTCTCCTTCTTGGCTTCCCCTTAATCTCTCAGACGTGCAATTTGTATCTCGAGCTCTTGTTGACTCTGCCCCAAGAAGACGATTTTCCAATTTTTGAGAATCTCCTTTAGGTGTTTCCCTCCTCACAGTGCCACTGTTTGCTCCTAGAATCACACCGTCCTCGGACTCAATAGCATTCCCATCAGCGCTAACACGCCCAGCAGGCAGAAGAGTCTTGACAAGAGTGTTGGAGTTGACGGAGTTGTTACCACCTCCTCCTAAAGTCCCTACTTCTCCTTCTGTGACAATTCTCTTAGATCTAACAGGTGTTGCAGGAGTCTTCACGAGAGTGGTAGAATTCACCAAGGCATCAGCATCTCCTTTTGAATTTAGAACTTCATCTCCCGCGACTGAACTGTGTTCCGATCTCACAGACCTGCCAGGCACAGGAGTTTTCACCAGAGTCCTGGAGTCTATCGAAGCACTCGCGCTCCTGCTTGTCGCGCCCACTTCCTGCTTCCCCGCTACACTCCGCTCCGCCCACTCAAGCTGGGGCCCCACTGCACCCTTACAAACAGATTCCTCTGCGGCCTCACCACCACCTGTCTGTGACGTCTGAGTGGCGTCGGCACCAGTTGTCTCCCCCTGTCTCCCGGTACACGCATCCGCCACTCTTGGCGTGAGCTGCCCGTTTCTACGAGTTAAATTCTCCTGAGAAGACCTCCTCACCGTATGAGGATCTTGAGAACTTATCGGAGTTGTTTCAGGATCGTGTGAGGATAAGAAATGCTTGTTTCCTTCATGAACGTGTCTGGACTCAGGATGTCTGCTGAGAGTGCGGCCGTGAGAAGTTTGTTGGTTGACGGCGTCGTCGCTGTAGTCAGAGGAACTCGTGTCAGACAGCAGCATGGACCTGAAGAACCGGGCCATTAGCCATCGCTTCCGCTTGCCTCGGCCGCTCGGCCCCGCCGGGACCCTCCTTCTCCTCTCGCGGCTGTCACTGCTGCTTGACGACTCGTCGCTAGAGTCCGACGACGGGAACCACTTCTTCCTCCTCGCCCCAGATTTCTGTGCAAGTTTCCGCTGACTTTCTCGACCCCCCGCGTCTGCCGTTACAGATACATTGGCACCACACCCATCGGCTGACACGCCAGTAAAGTCTCCACCTTCCCTAGTTCTCCCTCGCTCACTTCCCCTCTCAGACAAGTTCTGCTCCGCCTCCTCCTCTTCCCTTCTCCCCTCCGACTCGACAGGGACGCTGTGGGCCCGAGATATACACCTCTCCACCACCGATGAGGTGTCCGATCCCGTGAACAAGTGACTCTTACTTGGTTGTTTCCCCTCTGACCGAGCGACCACGGGGAGAGAAGCTGAGAGGTGGGAGGACAGTGAGGGAGTGCGGTCCTCCGGAACACCTGAATGCTCAGCTCTTTTAAAATGGGGCCTTCGTTCCGAGCTGTACCGACGTGTCACGGACGATCTCGGCTTCGCTGCTGATGGAAGAGCTCTCTGCTCCTCTCTCTCGCTCCGTTCTCTCACCACAACATCGTCAGCATCTCTGTAAACTTCCCTGTCAAAAACCTGACTCCTCAAACGTTGGTCGGTCACACGAGAGGGACTATCCCCCGGCTGGTCCAAGCCTGCTACATGACACGCATCCAGAAAGCCACCAACAGCCCCCAAGTCAGAGTCTGACAAGACGGAGTTATCTCTCTCTTCTTCCACTCTCTCGCGGTTCACAACCTCCAACCCTCGACCCCTACTTCTCTCGTCAGCTGACACACCATCAGACCCTGGTCTCTGGGCGATACTAGGAGAGACACGACGATCCCCGTCTTCACTCCGTCTCTGATCCGGATCTGAAAAAGACGAAACCAAACCGGCATCCGTTTTATCGGACTCTGACACAGCGGGGAGTGCGGTCGATTTCGTAGACGTAGCAGACGACGTTGAGAAAACTGTTGGAGCAGCAGCCGACGTGTTTGTCGACAATCCTAGCGGCCGGTCATCCCCAGCTGTTGCCCCCACAGGTCGATCGCCGGCCACTCCAAGCCGCAGCGTTCCCGCGGTCGCCCCGAGCGTGGTGGGCGTGGCAGGAAGTGAGGTGGAGCTACTGTCTTCTCTCACAAAGCCCAACCTGGCAGACGACGGGGTCTGGGGGCACGGTACAGACTGCGGTGGACGCTGGTCACTGTCGTCGCTGTCGTCATTTATCTGTGCCGCCACCGAGGAGGAGAAAAAGAGGCAAAGAAAAATTTTTAATCAGCAGAACCACAACAACAGCAAGCAAATGCATTTTTACAAAAACAAAAAAGTAGCAAAGAAATGACAAGAAGCTTGAATAAACCAAATCCTAAAAGTCTTAGATGTCGACAGCAGCTGGAAGAAAGCACAAGTAATTAATAAATAAAGCATAGGAGACTATGCCACTGCAATAAGTAGAGACTGTGTTTTGAGATGCTTTAAGTTATATGTTGAGAAAAAATAGACAGAAGTGGATAGAGCCCCACACTTTCCTTCACTTTCACAAAATCTGTCTCTTTGTTTTCTCGATCTTGCTTGATTAGTTAAAATCTCCAATACAAACAAATAAGTCTCATAAATTATTTGCTTAGCCTTTGAATGAACTCACCATAGGAATATTGACAGCAGGAACTTATAAAACACAAAGTAATAATAATAGTAATAACATTTGAAACATTTCAACAATTCAAAATGTCATAGTGCTTCGATTAGAAATTAAGAGTTAAAACTGACTGATGGCTTTACACTACAACTCTGACCAATTCAGCTTTTCTATCTACCTATCTATCTCCCTCTCCATATAATCTTTTATTTCACTGACAGTCTCATCTCAGTGGGCACAGCTGGGAGAACAGACCCGTAAGCTTCTCGTAACACAAAACTGAACACAGAACAGGGCAACGACATCAACTCATAAGGCAGGGATGTTACACATATGTGTCCCCGGCACATCCAGGTATTCCACAAAAGAGAGTCTTGTCTCACATTCAGCTTCTCCGAGTCATATTAACCCTACTGGTTTCATTCTGTGGTGTAACCGCCGATTTAGTCCGCCATAACTTGAGTTGCTCTTTTGGTTCATTTATCACAAGTTTTTTTTCTATATACGAAAAAGCATTTCAACTCCTTCACAAATGAGCCTTTTTTTCAATTTACATTCTACTTTTAAAAAATGTATGGTTGTATGGCCTCTACTTGCTTGATTTGCCTGTCCTCAAGCATCTTACAACATGATACAGTAAAATCATATAATTTCCCCTGTCATAATGCAGTAAAATCATATAGTTTCCCCTGACATATAATGCAGTAAAATCATATAGTTTCCCCTGACATATAATGCAGTAAAATCATATAATTTCCCCTGACATATAATGCAGTAAAATCATATAATTTCCCCTGACATATAATGCAGTAAAATCATATAATTTCCCCAGCCACTACAAGTTATGTGTTAGCAACACATGGAGGGTAGACGCAGCCAGTACATTCCTTCCATGCAAGTTGCGAGTTGGTCACACAAGAGCACCCTTATCGTTAGTAAATCCTCCGCGAGGGCAGACCCCATACATTAGTGTGCTTTTGTGTGCATCCAGAACATTAGTCTCATTTAAGCATTACAGCAATTCAGTTTTCATCCTCACCAACCCATACACCATGGGCAAGTTCTTTTCAATTTTATAAAGAGTTTTACAGCACCTACAACATAAATAGGTCATGAAAGTACCAAAGATTAGGTGTCTTAAGATTGTAGCAGACCAGTACAAAAAAAGGAGGAGAAATAAATACAATAGATGTTTGACAGAATAGAAGAAGAGAATGGACTATAGACTTTTGATTAGGAAAGGAGGTGAGATAAGAACAATATATAGGCCCTATATATGTATTTTTTTAGTCCGGCCTAAAACGTTAGAAGAGTGCAAATTCACTTTCAAAATCAAATGTAGGCCTATATTGCAACTTTCCAAATCGACAAGCAAAGAGAATATCAATTTGAGAGGTCACTTGCAACAGATATCATGAGTAATATTATGATGGAATCTGATACAAATATGTGCGTGTTCATGGGTGTGTGTGTGTGAGAGAAAAGAAGAGTAACTATGCAGTAATGTCCAAGCAAATGCTAACATTCTTTGGATTAAAATATTACGAAAATACAATGGCTCGGCAAGGACACCTGGAAACGATAAACAGAAATTCCTTAAACCAACACTGTGTGGGTCAACTGAGAACCAGCAAGATCATCACCTCACAACCTTGTTTATGTCAGCTTCTGTGAATATTTCTTTTTTATTCCATACTCCAGAGATTTACTGGCCCATGTGGGCATTAACCCACTTCTGTAAGCAACAGTAGTGAGCTTAACCAAAACACCACAGACACCACATAGGCCGGTCGCCGTCACGGTAAGAAAGCAGAAGCAAATACAACTGAATGGTCAAACCTGAGCAAAAGTTGCCATAAGCAGAGATCACAGTTTTCACAGGAAATAAAAGAGTGCATAAAAATTCCACACCCAAATGATAGGAGGCACAACACCGTTAGTTACACATATACATACAAGTTGTACCTGATGTACACACCAACACATTCAAGTATTGTTATATCCCTTGTTGATGAGGACAATGGGGGTGGGGTTAATGAATTAAATGAATTACTTCGTTCACGTCACATGCCATAATAACGTGTACTTTTACCGCCTTGCGCGTAAGACTTATTAAACAGTCTCACATGCACAAAGCAAAACTGGCAGCACGCAGAAGTCTTTTAGTTACGCACGAATTTTGCTATGCACATGTTTCAAATACAAAGAATATATAAATTAGAAGAAAAAAACATGGCACCTAAAGATCTGTGGGCTCATATGTGCTTGTTGGCTACGTTCACGCTGTCTATTTCATGGAACATACTGGTACAAAGTGTTGGAAAGTAATTATCCATTTATCTTTGTTGATCACCAGGGGAACGTTTAGCCATGAAGTATTAAGATGATCTAGGAGTTGATTCTCATTTCTCCTCTCAGCCTTTGGAAATCACCAAACTTTGACGGCCCTTTCCATGCTACATCACGTGACCCCTTGGAATTTCTTCAGCAGGTTGTCAACTTCACGATAAATGTGCCACACAGTTTTATTTTTCATGGAATGGCCCTCAAGTATCTACCCCAAATGGAAATTAAACTCAGATTTCTTAGGAAATTTTTCTTTCCACAGTGTGAAGAGCCCAACCTGTACACAACAAAAGGCAGAAGGAACGGAATAGCACAATAGTACCACTCAACAGAAGGGGAAGAGGCAGATCACAAAAACCACCCCCCCCCCCACCAACCATCCACAGCGAGGAAAGGGAACCAAACTGAACATGACTTGAAACACATAAAGCCCACATCACTTTGACTGAAGACGAAATTAAAATGTTTTGTCTATTGTTGCTATAGCTGTTATTGTTATTGCTGTTATCGTTGTTGTTATTGTTATTGCTGTTATTGTTGTTGTTGTCCTTACTGCTGTTATTGTGGTTGTTGTTATTGTTGTTGTTATTGTTATCGATCCAGCAACAGCTGGGACCTCGACCTTCTGTCCAATGCCATGCAGTAATAAGCGCAGGTCTGCTGCAGTTGCTGTTATGTTCCATTGAGTGAGTTGCCAATGTTAAGTCTCGGAGGAATAAGTGTAGCTCTGATGTCATTTAGGGCTGTGCAGTGGAACAGGTGAAAATCCACAGTCTCATATGTGTAGTCACACAAAGGACACATTTGAGGAAGTCCTGGTTTTATTCTGTTTAAGTTTTTGTTAGATTTTACTAATACTTACTATTCAACTACTAGCAATTGTTAGTCAAAGGGTTAAAAAGAAGTCGCTATATAAATTAAAACAGTGCATGATAAATCATGTGTGTACATAGAAATGATGTGTTGACATTTGAACATTAGTCATACCCAGGGCAATTCAAAGAATGCATTAGAGTCTTGCTATTTAATACAATAAACTATGTGATGTAGAGTGTGCTTCCAGCAAGCCTTCATTTCACACTGTTTATGGCGATACGAGAAGAAGAAAGAAAATGAACAAGACAGTGGAAGCTTTGAGTAAACATTTTACGGCAATTACAACACAATTAGGTCACATAAGGGCCGAAGATTAGAAGTGTTACAAGACAGTAACAAACACAAAAAAAGAAAAAGAGGAGGGATCAGGACAATAGATGTTTGAAAGGAAAGAAGGAGCAAACCACACAAGAGTACCCGCCAACCATCCAGTTTTTTTCTTCCTTATATTCAGATGAGGTCTGATAGGTTGTATAATTTATACACGGTAAACTAGGTCAGCTTGTTAACGATGACTTCTCGTCACTACCACATGTTTGCTTTTCATTTATCTGCTCGTCTGCTTCGGCTATTTTGTTTGGGTTTTTTAGCATAAAAAAATAGATTAAACATGCCATTATTTTTTCTTCTCTGGAGATTACAAACGACTGCATAAGTAAAACTCTGTTCAAACCTAAATCTAAATTTTCAGCTTCCTTGGACCCTCCTGCTATGGAAGCAACCAAACTTTGGCAGCCATTTTCTAATTAATTTTACCTCTAAAAACAGCCCCCCCCCACCTCCTTCAATCCCAAATATCTTGATTTATAATCATCAAAAGCAAGGCAAATGAACAAACTTTACGATGTAACTAATGATTTCACACACCCTATATTAATGAACACCTGATTCCACTGCGTTGAGACACACATAAATGCTTTCAGCATGTCAGCCTTGACTCTTTAATGAAGCATGTTCTGATCATTTGACAACACTTGAGGAATTCTGCAAAAATACTGTATACAAGCAAATTGTCCAAGAGCTCGGAGACAGAAAATTTTGGGATCAAACAACCAAAAAGCCATGGTTCTATCCACAGAAATCTCTTTTTTTCCCCCCGTTTCAGTGTTGTGAAAACTTTTTTCTAAACCTTGAAAGGTTACACAAAGTTGTATCTCATACACAGTCAACAGCTGACTCTACTCCATTCATTCTTCAAGTTTAATTGTTTTAACTGCTTTTAGTTTAGTTTAATAGTTTTAGTAAAAGTTCTTCAAATTTGTTACACAATAAGGTCATGTAAGTGCTGAAGATTAGAGGTCTTACTAGAGAGTATCACACAAAGAACGGAAGGTGAAGAGATCAAAGGACCTTAGGAAAGAAGGAGCGAACCACACCAGAACATCCCCCAACCATCCACAATTTAAACTCCCATGTCATATATATAATCAGCACGCTACAACAAGGTTAACGAAAACCTTTATATCATTCACAGGCATATCATGTTAATAAGGAAGGTTGTTATTTATACAAGTGCATAAAATCAAACAGCTGGAGGGCAAAGTAAGCAAGCACCCATTTCAAAGGTTGGGTGACCAAAAACAGGCAGGGTGACAGAAAAAAGTTATCAAGCATCACCAAATAAGGTGGGGTGACAGCAGAAAAAAGTTATCAAGCATCACCATATCAGGCAGGGTGACAGAAAAAAGTTATTAAGCAATAGTACACGATGCAGGGTGACAGGCAAAGGAACGCATGTGGGAAGAAAATTAACTGAAAAAAAAAAGAAAGCAACAACCACAAAAAAAACCTAACCTTCATGAACTGAAACAAATCCACTAGTTTGGATAGCTTGAAATCCACGGGCAGCCCTTCGATCCCTTTAATAAAATCAACGTTAACCTCATCCCTACACTCTGGGCACACCAAGGGCCGTGAATAGTTGAAGTACGACCTGAAAGTTGGCATTCAAAGCAAATAAAAGCTGTGAGCATGTACACAGTATATAAATATTTCACAAGATCAGGTAACAACTATACTGCGGTCAAAAATTCATGGCGTAACTTACTGTCAAATATCTCCGTAACTATTGAACATAGGTTCTCCAACTTTTGCACAATGACTTCTATCAATTTGTTTTAATTGATGAATATTTTTTCAAACACCTGTACACTGTATTCTAAAAAATTCCTTAATAAATACTAATAAAAAATCTCAGTCGATGGTTTCTACAGATTTTTTAAAGTTTACAGCTCGGGCAATATCGCTTTTAAAAGAAAGTCTGTCATTTTTTTTTTAAACAGCGACAATACGCTTATTGAACGCGTGCTTTAAGAACCTTTAGTTCAAAAAATGTGTTCACTATAATACTAAATTCTTGTAACAAGTTTAGCCACTAAAAAGAGTGATTGGTGAGCTGTGACATGACGCAGGTCACAGGCGTATACAAAATATGTGGGAGAAGTGGGAAGTGGTGTGAACAATCCCATTTTCTGCGTGATGGGAGTTTGCAGTATTTTTTACAAATTGGTGAAGAAAATTTTTTAAAATTTGGCCTCAATTGTTGAGGAAAAATATGATTAAGTTAAGACAAATTGATACAAACTGCTGTGCAAAGTATGAGTGACAGTGATTCATCTGTTAAAGAGAAATTTGAGGATACGTTGTGCCCCGAATTTTTGACCGCACTATAAATCAATTAATTTGATAGTGATACACTTGAGCTGAAGTTTTGGTACATGATAATAGTACTGGGTGGAAGAGAATCTACATACATGTCAATGTACTATGATGAAAAGAAATACTGGACAATTGGAACATTGAGTATATTGCTGAATAAATCGTTAACAGCCAGTTAGTATGAAAATGGACGTACATATCATATTTGGTCAAGGACAGGTTATGACAACAGTCACATAAAAAAGAAATAGAAGACGCAGACGACCAGAGAGTGTCCTCCAAACACCCCTAAAATACAGAGCATCACAAAAAATGAAACAAACACAATGGGAGAGCTGTACCAAACAATCGGACGCATAACATCTGCAAGCTCTTCACATTTCCTAACTATTCTAAGCCCAAGAAAGCAATATTTTAAAGGAGAAAAAAAAACCCCTATCATTCTTTTAAACAATTCTCCCTACTTTATGTGTCATTTTTTGTGCTTTTTAAAAAAATCTAGAATTTGAATCTTGAGCAACTGTAACCCAACAGTTTAAGAAACTGGGGTTTGTCTGTTTTTTCTGAAATCCTGGGCGTACCACATCTTTGTTTTGTTTAAGTAAGGTTTTATGGCGCTCCAACTGCATAAGATCATAAAAGAGTCAAGGACTGGATGTCAATAGACAAGTCCAAACGGGGAATCAGGCTTACTCTGCTCACTTCTCTAGACTCAAAACACAAAATCTGCTTCGACTATCAAGGCACCCTGGAAATAGCAGTTCACAAGAGAGTGACAAACATCCAAAAGAAGTAGAGGAAAAATGATGATAGGATGAGGGAAGAAAAAGCAGCAGTTCCCCTTACGTTGTTCCGGCACAGTATGAGGATGACATTGATAAATCAGCCCATTTACAATTCTACTGTGCATAAAAACATGTTAATGTCCCCCCTTTGGGAATGGCCTTAGTACATCTTAACAGATGGCCGGCAATAAACAGACATAACCACATCAGAGAGATTATGAAAACAATGAGGTCAGGTACGGGATGATGATAAGGGTTCAATGCCTCTTTTTTCAACACTGTAAGGCAATTCAAAAGGCAGGACCTCGAAACTATCCATCTCCGGTAGATCTGAGCTACGTTGGGTTGAAGGCCAAAAAACTCCCCGAACAAACAAAGTTCAAGAATGCCCCATTGGAGGGTTCAAACAAAGATCATCTGCACCAGAGCTGTGCATACCACCTACTGAGCCAATGGTGCACCCGTTGTGTCAAGCAGAGAAGTGGTTGTCTAAGACAGGTGGACATCTTACACAGTGTCATTATAATGTTAAAAAATACACAAGGGAGGAAATGGGAACATGGGTCAAAGTTGGTCACAACCATTTTCCCTGAAAACTTTCAAACTCACAGCATCTCAAGGGGCTTTGCCTGAAAAAGATAATTGAATCACCCCCCACACTGACGATTTATGCTTGAACTCAAGCAGCAGAGTTAAAACGTCTGACTTTTTGTAGACAGTCGTCAGGCAAACGAAAGAAAACCGTGCTTCACGAGATTGACGCTTGTCCAGTCAAGGACGGCCGTCACTGGCTGCCGGCACCATGATTCCAACTGGCTTTCTCTTGCCGGAATTTCCGGCAAAAGAGGGCAAACTTTTACCCATGAACGGAAAGTGACCGTTTGTCCAGGTGATTTTCTTATTTTTACAGGTGGCCATTTGAGCAGATTTGATTGTAGCTCCCCCATTGACACTATTTCTTACAGCCTACTCTGTGTCTAGAACAAATTCGACGAGGGCTAAAATACCAGAACTGAGATCAACTAAACAAAAAGTCAACATCAGACCAAAATTTTAAGTAAGAAGTGCACTTCACTATGCAAACATAGCGACACAGACAAAGCAGGATTCCAGAACAAATAAATCATTCCAGTCCTAGAAGTGGAAAAAGTGAAACACTTTAACGGAAACAAAACATACTTATATATATATGCTAGATCTGCACAGCAGCTGGGCAAATATGGACGAGAATAAAATCTAACACAGAAAGAAAAAAAAGAAGAAAAAATTAACAAAGAAACATTGAAAACTGAAGAAATTACATATTTTGAATTTGAGCCCAATTATTGAAGATACAGTAGGTAATGAAAAATCATGCACGTAAAGGGAAATTGTCAAAACAAGTTGATTCTTAATTCATGAGGTGAGCAAGGTAGGGGTGTGTGTGTACTGGAATGTCATGTGAACAAGATTATGTGTGCAGGGATGGGGGGAGTGAGAATGAGATAGTAGGTGTGTCCTGGTGTGAGCATGAACGACATATATTTGTATACAAGAGGAAGGGCAAGTCAAGAAGACAGAGTAGGCATGAGTGTGTCTGGAATGTGCCTGAACAAGACATTTGAGGGCATAAGGGGATGGAAAAATGAGAGAGTAGGTGTGAGTGAGTTTTGGAATGCATGTATGTCAACGAGATATATGTGAGCGAGAGGGAGGGAAAAAATGAGAGAGTAGGAGTGAGCCAAACCTTCCAGTGCCAGCTGTTTGTTTCATTTGACACTGACAGTGTGTGCAACAATGTGTGTGCGTTACTGTGGGTATATAATTACCAATTTTTGAGAGTAGTTTTAGTTTAGTTTTAAAGTAAGGTTTTACAATGCTTGCAACTGCATAAGGTCATATGAGCGCCAAGGGGTGGATGTCAACAGAGAAGTTTAAACAGGGAATCAGGCTTACTCTGCTCACCTCTCTAGCCTCAACAGCACAAAGTCTTATTCGACTATGAAGGCACCCCGGAAATAGCAGTTCACAAGCGAGTGACAAACATACAAAAGAAGTAGAGCAAAAATGACATTAGTAAGGATGAGGGAAGCAAAAGCAGAAGTTCCCCCTTTATGTTGTTTTGAAAGTAAAAGACATATATTCACACACGACACCGACAGTCACACTGCAATAAATAGAGAAAACTAACAGACGAGGATAGACAGAAAGTTGGGTTCTTTTTTAAGTAGGGTAGGTGTTTTTAATGCCTGCATCAACACAATTTTGACCATTTAGAAGATAGGCTTCCATCCCTGCCTATCAGGGCCAACCCAAGCAAAGAGAGATACGGTAACAATATCGCAGTTCAATAGAAATTCTCCATACTTGGGAATCAAACTCGGATCTCGACATATGACAGAGAAGCCCCTTTCCACTACACCACAGATGCCAGTAGGAATAAGACAAAAATAACGGATCCCAGTTCCATTTCCAAGTCGGGTGGATTTGTATCGAGTATCTCTGTCTTTCTCATTAAGCAGAGATGCTAAATGACTGTGACAAAGCTCCTGTACTTTTTGGGCCCTATGGAAACCCACGCATGCGGACTCGTATTTCATGGATCATATTGTTTAATACGCCTTGTACCAAAAACGAAAAGTGAAATATGACGTGCACAAAGAGATAATATAACAATACCCCCCCCCCCCCCCCCCCCAAAAAAAAAGAACGAATCAGTAATATATGAACAATTTCTGAAGGGCTATAATCCAAGGGTTTTTTTTTTGTGGTGCAGGGTGACGGGCAGTTCCATGGAGTAGCCTAGAGTAGATGAGGTTCATCGCAGGACAAAAACCCACAAACTACAACAGAAGGAGCAGTTTGTTCTGCGAGGGACTTCCTGGAGTCTCAGTTTGCTTTCTTTGTAGAATATGAATTAATTAACTGATTTCAATGAATTGAAAAAAAAAAGAAAAAAAAAACACAGGCAATCCTTCATCTTTCATAGACTTGGAATTTTTGTGGAATCTCAGTTTGTTCATGAGTTTCTTCAATGTGAGAAAGATGCTCATACTAAAACAAGATTTCAAGACAACAATGACAAATTCAGATGTACGGCAATAGGAACAATAAAATAAGCACTCCCACTCACTAACAGAGACTCTTCAAACAACAAATGTTCCTGCAATAAAAAAAATTATTATAAGTTTAAATTGAAGAAACAAAACGACAAGGAATAAAAAACCCACCAGGCAATGAAAAATCTGAAAGAAGAGGACTAGCAAAAGAAGAAAAATTGAACAAAAGAAGAAAAAATTGAACAAACGTTTGAAAAGTTTTTTAAAAATCAATCACAAGCAACATAATCATTGTCATTGTTATCATACCCGCTTTCCACTGCCTTGCTCTCCAGCATGGCCTTGATGCACACGTGGCAGTAGGAATGACCACAGGGCAGGCGTCGCGGCTGACGGAACAGCTCCATACAGATAGGGCACGTCAGCTCCGCCTTCATTTCTCGGCCTGACATCTTGACGATTGTGTCTGTTGAGGTTTCAAATCTTGTGCTGGTATTCTCTTTACTCTTTCACTTGGTAGCTTGATCCCACATTTCACACAGTATACACACCACTGCAGCTTTGGAGAAAAAAAAAAATTCTGTTATAGAAGGAGAGAGAGTTAAAGTCCCTATTAAAGGAAACTTATTTATTTTTATTAACATTCATTTTTAAGGGCATCCCAGATATATATATTTAAACCCTTGTATTAAAAACTTAAAGGGTTGTTGTTGTTTTTTGTATATGTCTGACAACTAATCCCCAAAAGTCAATTATAAAATTTTATAGAAAGAATTTTTGCATGTAAACTGTAAACATTTAACTCACGCAGACTCATACACAAAAACAAAGTGACCATGACTAGATTGAATGCTAACGATTTTTTATTAACTGTCCGGTTTCATTGTAACAACAAGAAAAAAAAGAGAGTAATATTGACTAAAATTAGAGTTTTGTCCACATTGGGGGAGGGGGTGGTGGTGGTTGGGCCTATCAAAAATAATATAAAGTTGACAAACCAAATGGGGTCAATTTCAACTGCGTATACACAAAAGAAAATAAACTGATCCATTTTTCTTCAGAGCCATCCCAGAGTCCACATTCCAGTCTCTCCAGACTTTCAATTTTTTTTTCCTCATGAAAATCTCACAAGCCTCCTGGATCACTTCCTTTTCATCAAATGACAATCCCTCATGCTTGCTTGTTATTGTCAAAGGATCAGTTTGTTGTTTTTAACAGCCTTTATAGTCAGTGAACAGCGGAGTTCATTCAGCCGTGCTTGCTTTCATGTCAAAGAATCAGTTTGTTGTTAATAAAAACAGCCTTTAAGGTCAATGAACTGCGGAGTGCTGAATGAGCACGATTCTGAGCTGAAAAACTCCACCCACAGGGCTTTGATTATTACCCCTGCAGTGAGATGACTCCCATCTTTCTATAAAAGACTAAATTAGGCAAGGTTAGGGTTAGGGTTAGAGCTAGCTCTTTCCATTAACTTACAATTATTTTGATATTGTTAATTTTTTGTAAAATTGGCAGACAACTCATGCTTACTAGTGTTAAAAAAGGATGGGTGTAATCTCACATCTCACGGCAGGGGTAAACTCAAGGCACAGCACCGGCAAATGCGAGCAACCAAAATGTGAGTGGAGCTTCTCTGCTGAAGCAAGCCGGTGTCGCAGGAAACTGCGCGCAGCTGAAGTACGGTAGGTCCACTGCTTCTAATACAGACAAAAGGTGACTACCGTGTATGTGTGTGGGTATATTGTTAAACCATTGACTCGGCTTCGGGATAGAGAAGGGGAAAGTTGATGCTTTCCAGACGCACACAACCTACGTTTTAAAGTTAAAGGGTCATATATATGGAAACCCCTGAAACAAAATTTTAAAGAGTATATGTAACGCTCACGCACCACCAAAATTTAAAGGGGGTAATCTGCAGGTATATAATATATCTGTGCATAATGAGGAGCCCTGTTCATATCACTGGAGGGGAGGGGTGTGCGCGGAGATGGCTAATCAGGCTGATCTTCGCTCTGAAATGTTTGTTGCAGTGGCGGCAAGGGATGCATTATTTGGGGCTGGCTGTACTAGACTAGAAGAGACGGCTCTCTCTGTCTTTTTTCAACTGCCGTCTCCATTCTTTGTTTCTGACCGTCTTTCTTTGAACTTGGTGACTCCACATCTTACTAAGAGGAGCGCCAAGATGTGCGATAGCGAGCAGCTTCTTCCCAGGTGGTATGAGGAATGTCACACTTCTTTAGGGATGCTTTCAGAGCATCTTTGAAGCGCTTTTCTGTCTGCCGAGAGAGGGATGTTGAAGTTAAGACTTACTACTACTACTACTGCTTGAATTTGAATAAAGTGAGGAAGAGTGGCGTATGTATACATACATAGTATAGTTGTCAGCTTGTCCATCTGGGTCCTGTGGCATGCGCGCACACACACACACTGTACTTGTACACAGAAACATACACTTCACCACTACCACACACACAATGTAGGCCTACACTGTACACACACACAAAATGCACACACACACACATACACACTAAACTAAACAGTACACACACACAGCACATACACACACACAATAATCTGTGACATCGAGAAACTTACAACAAATGAAGAGAAAGCCACTGAAGACGGAACACTAGATCTAGCTTCTAAAGTCAAAGAAAAGTACATGTAAGAAGTTGAACTGAAGAGGTTGAAGTTGAAGTTTCAATTTGGGCTAAAAGGTAGGCTAAATCAACGGCAACAGACCGTTTGTTTCCCAACCACCTGTTGTTTACCTGGCTACAGGACAGGTCCTTATTTTAACCCCTCTATTTCTGTGTATTGCCCAGTGGAGTGGCAAAAAGTAGAGCCATTCTCAACACATGTTTCACGATCCATAACATTCCAGGGCATCACATCAGATTCATTGAAGATGTTGTGATGAAGAATGAAGATAACGGTATGTGGGCCGGGCGGGGGAGGGAACGGTTGGCGATAGGCCTGTCAGTCGGTCACTTCCGACTTCCGCTATCATCACAGACTTGCGGCTAGCTGCAGCCCCGTCAGCCAGAAGCTGATTGGCTGCGGTAGGC